CGCCAGTGCGGCTGCGACCCTGGAGAGCAAACACAGGACCCCGAGGTCATGACCCCGTCCTAGAAAGCCTTCCTGACCCGCAGGTCACGTGACACAGAGCCACAGAAACGCAGTAGAGAAGCACAGCTTTTTGGATTTGTAGGTTTATAGCTAAGCAAACTTATTTAGCGTCTTTTGCTGCTGTTGGGAGTCAGACTCTCAGACTCTTGTGGGCTATAGGAGTGGACTCATATAAAGTTCTCAGAAGAGGCAAAAAAAGTTCTCAATCTAAGCATGTTTTTTGACTTTCACAGAAATGCACAATGGACCTTCTGTTATAAATCAGTTCAAGGCCAAATCTGTTTTTAACTTCAGGCTTTTATGGGCCTGCAGCTGCAGCGGCCAGCCAATGTTCCCTGAGAAAATGCTGTCGAGCAGCTCTGCCAAAACTCTCCCTGTGCGAATCTGAGGACCAAACAAAGTGTTACATCCAAAATGACCTTCCTTTAAATCAAATTCTAATGTCAATGATTCCTCTAATGTGGCGTCAGGCGTGATCGTTAGCATAACGTGATCTGCATGTTGAGAAACGCCCGGTCTTGTTGAAGAATCGAACGCACATTCCAGCAAGAACATTTCGACTGCGTGTTTGCAAAAACCATCTGGCCATAAATCAGCATCATTTCAAATTCAATGTATAAACAGTTTTCAACCCAGGGTTATAAATGATTGAATGTTTCATAACTCGACTTCCATGTTGTAGGCTACACACCATTGTATTAGAAAATATGAAAAGCATTTCATGTAATCCAGGAATGGCAAACTAACACTTTCACATGCATGTTTAGCTAGTATTACACTTTATATCAAATGTATCAGCAGAATGTTTTATTAAAGAAAGCTTTCATGGCATAAAGATGTGATGTCCTTACTTCACTTCATAAAAGATCCGTTCAACATTTGTTTCTCTTGTGTGTGTGTGTGTGTTATTTCTGGCAGCTTCTGTGTGTAACAAAAGAAATGCTGAAAATATTTATCAGAATGAACTCATCAACTTCTCTTGTGCTCATTTTTCAGTGGTTAGTAATGATTGCGGACACAGGTTACTTGCAGTGCATTTCTGAAATGAGTGGCTTATTTTGGGAGTTTATTGGCACACACTGTTTGAAAGTGTGTGTGTGTGTGTGTGTGTGTGTGTGTCTGGCTGGCTGTTGCGCACTCAGTAAAAGAGTCCAGAGCCTCAACAACTCTCTGTTCCTGCTGGCTTCAGACAGACTCCACAGACCTGCGGCCGTCTGACCTTGAGCACTGAAGAGAGAAGACAAGCAAACAAACGCAGGAACAGCTCGTCCTTTCCTGAAGCACCATGGCCTGTGTGGGATCTTCCTGGCTGCGCTGGGGAGCGCTGCTTTCTCTCATATTCTGTATGTTTGCTCAGGAGAACAGCTGGGAGTGTTTGGACAAGGACGAGATTGTTACTGAAATGTCCAAGGACGCTGAGATGCCGTCTGAGTGTGTGTTGAGCTGTACAGCGCTCTCTTACAGACAGATCGCAGACAGCCAGCAGAAACTCACGGTCCACTTCAAAGACTCGCAGCCCGGTAAGAGCCGCTTCACCTCTGGTGTGTGTTACATGTGTTAAACAAAACCAATGAGGCTCTTTCCCAGGGTTCATAGTCTAGCAAACAGTGCCCAAAAGCTGTATGTACAGAAAGGTGCAAAAATCTTGTAGTTTATACACTATATGCAAATGATATCCAGCATGTGGTCTAGCATGACTGAGCATAAACATGCTGCTGTGGAACAGTATTTATTTATTCACGTTCATATCTTTGTCGACTCCTGCAGGTGAGTCGGGGGACTTCTGCTGGTTTATTCATAGGAGATGCAGCACATGGGATGAAGTTTTTGTTTTACTGTCAGTCAACGAATCCGTTCCGAATGGAGAATCGATTCAAATTCAAACCAACTCTCCGACTCACCTGATCCCCGTTCAGTCCCACGACTCTCCGTCCATCATCCCTGACGACTGCGGCCTTCGCTTCGACGTCCTGCCGCACCTGAGACACGTGACACACCTGCCGCTCTGCGTCCGGCTGACAGGCATCATGGGAAACCACCTACAGTGCCCACCCTTTCTGGTCATGATCAGGAATAAAACCAGTCTGACCAACTCCTGAATGAATCTATAAACATTATAAGGCACAATGGTAAAGATTTAGACAGATAAACTCTTAGAGGCTGTTGCATTTCAATTTCAATTCATTTGAATGAATGTTTCAGTAATATGTGAAGTTCCAGTTTAATATGCTTTAAATTTGAAGTATACATTTTATTTTAATTTGCCTTTGTAGCCTTTCTGTTTTATTAAGCATTTTATATTTAGTAAACTGATAAAATCATTAGAATGTAGTCCATGACCCCGTTTATTTACCGGCCTACATACATATATATATTTTGTTAATAAAAATCTGGATGCTAATCTCTGTGTCTTCTGTGATTTCATATTAATATGATATTTTGATTTTCAATCTAAATCACTGAGGTAGATTTTAAATCTGTCAAACAAACAAATCAATAGAATGAACAACAGTAAATCACAACAATTATTGAAAATTCAACTCTCTCTCTCACACACACTCGCATATCTCATTTGTTTAGTCAAATACACTCAGAATGTTTTGGGTGTTATTACATAACATTTAGTTTTTATAACTGTTCAGAACTGGGCTAGCTAACCATGTGCTGATTAGCATCATTGAGCTGGGTTCAAAAGTATCTAAAATTGTCACAACCGAAACAGTATGTAGTTATATAGTGTATTTGTGCTCCATCAATGAAACGGTTCCACCAAAGCAGGACAAACCGCTGCGACTCCGAGCAACACAGCAGCGTTTCATTCCTGGTTGAGTGAATGATTTAGAAAGTAGACTTATAATTGAGCTACAGCTGCTTTAGTCTTCTTCTGTCAGCCCACTTATACACGACAGCTAATCGCGTGCTGGACACTGTTAGCGTGCGCTCCTCGTGCGCCCCCTCTGGCGGAAGCGGGAATAGCAGACTTGTGCTGTTAGCGTGCGCTCCTCGTGCGCCCCCTCTGGCGGAAGCGGGAATAGCAGACTTGTGCTGTTAGCGTGCGCTCCTCGTGCGCCCCCTCTGGCGGAAGCGGGAATAGCAGACTTGTGCTGTTAGCGTGCGCTCCTCGTGCGCCCCCTCTGGCGGAAGCGGGAATAGCAGACTTGTGCTGTTAGCGTGTGCCCCCTCTGGCGGAAAGCGGGAATAGCAGACTTGTGCTGTTAGCGTGCGCTCCTCGTGCGCCCCCTCTGGCTGAAGCGGGAATAGCAGACTTGTGCTGTTAGCGTGCGCTCCTCGTGCGCCCCCTCTGGCGGAAGCGGGAATAGCAGACTTGTGCTGTTAGCGTGCGCTCCTCGTGCGCCCCCTCTGGCGGAAGCGGGAATAGCAGACTTGTGCTGTTAGCGTGCGCTCCTCGTGCGCCCCCTCTGGCGGAAGCGGGAATAGCAGACTTGTGCTGTTAGCGTGCGCTCCTCGTGCGCCCCCTCTGGCGGAAGCGGGAATAGCAGACTTGTGCTGTTAGCGTGCGCTCCTCGTGCGCCCCCTCTGGCGGAAGCGGGAATAGCAGACTTGTGCTGTTAGCGTGCGCTCCTCGTGCGCCCCCTCTGGCGGAAGCGGGAATAGCAGACTTGTGCTGTTAGCGTGCGCTCCTCGTGCGCCCCCTCTGGCGGAAGCGGGAATAGCAGACTTGTGCTGTTAGCGTGCGCTCCTCGTGCGCCCCCTCTGGCGGAAGCGGGAATAGCAGACTTGTGCTGTTAGCGTGCGCTCCTCGTGCGCCCCCTCTGGCGGAAGCGGGAATAGCAGACTTGTGCTGTTAGCGTGCGCTCCTCGTGCGCCCCCTCTGGCGGAAGCGGGAATAGCAGACTTGTGCTGTTAGCGTGCGCTCCTCGTGCGCCCCCTCTGGCGGAAGCGGGAATAGCAGACTTGTGCTGTTAGCGTGCGCTCCTCGTGCGCCCCCTCTGGCGGAAGCGGGAATAGCAGACTTGTGCTGTTAGCGTGCGCTCCTCGTGCGCCCCCTCTGGCGGAAGCGGGAATAGCAGACTAGTGCTGGTGTTGCTCTCAGCAGAGTCACGTTAGTATGGTAGAAAACTATTCTGAACGCAGCTTCAGTTTGATTAACAGCTACATGATCTCAGTCAGTTAGTACTATAACAAAACAGACTAGTACTATTTCAATTGAAATAGATGACAGTTAAAAACACCGTTTTATGGCAACTGAAAAGTGCAATTAAAAATGACAATCAAATTCAGTTAAAGTCCGCGTGAACCGGAAGTTGCTGCCGACTTTATTTCAGTGTAGTGACGTATTTCCAGCTGAAACAGAATATTGAATAGAGGGCATGGTTTTATGTTTGCGCTCCTCCTCTCTGTCTCTCACTCATAGCAATCTAACGGTTGGAGGGGTGTGTTTAGAAGGATATTCTGCCCAAGCCGTCAAACTGACGTCATCAGAAAAGGAATGCCATTCCAGAGCGGAAGTAAATGTTCAGATTTTGATTAAAGATTACGAAGACAAACAAGTTTTTTCAGCGTATTAACTTGCACGGATTAATTGTTTACATCAAGACTAGCAATGTGTGCTAGTAAAGTAAATAAAGTCAATTTTGATTTCATGCGGACTTTAAAGAAACGGTTTAATTTAGCTAGTTAACCTTCATTTATTTTATTTAAAGCTGTAAGCGTTTACTAACAGTGTCTGTATTTTTACATATGTAAATATCTCTGTATTACTATTTACTTTAAATCAGTATCGCTGCTCTAACGTGATGATGTAATTGTTGGCGTGCGCGCTCCTACAACAACATGCCCATAAAAGGAGTGTTGAGCCGGAACCATGTAATACTGCGCGGGGGTGTGTGCTTTACTGCATGATATCCGGACGAATAATTATACGAATTCATGTTTAATTATTAAAATTCTTAATAAAGTCGTGAACAAAAGGAGCCTGTTGTTCAATATAAAGTCAAACCGTGTGTGCTTGACCCACTGATCTGAAGCATGTAGCAGCGGGTGACCCCCGCTCAGGAGTGGACTCGTCCGCGGAGCGCCGTTCTGCTCGCTTCAGGCAAACTGCGGTTTCTGGAAATCAGCGGATTTTCTAGATTTGAAGAAATGTGATAAATCAGCGGATCGTGTCGTCATGAGCGACCGACAAGCGACGCCTCACAGCGGGCAGTGCAGACCGAGAATGAGCAGGTGAGAGAACTCTGGGAAAACGACCTCAAAATGAGGAAATAAAACACAAGTAAACACTTAAAGTCTGTAAACACACACCAAATCCGCGCAGACACGAGAAACCGACAAATATAACTTATAAAACGGATTGGAAGTTTTAGAATTGAACTGACTGAAGCACAAATGATTACATGAATGAGTACAAACTAAATAAAAGTGAAGTGAGATCATGTGTAAATACTAACGCATAGACGCCAGTGTGTTCTTGAGTCATACCTACACTGAAATTATCTGATTTAATCCTATAAATGAATTAATGATTGCTGTGAAACGTATGGTCAGTGTGTGTTCTTTTGTGTCTGTTGTGTCTTGTGTGTGTTGTAATATCATTATAAGAGTGTGTGAGTGTTTCAAATAGTTTTAAGCCGGAAAAACGCATTCAGATTCAGAATGCATCTGAATCTGACACACACACACACACACACACACACACACACACACAGAACAGAGTGCGTCCAGCCACTGCAGGTGTGTGTGTGTCGGTCACTGCTGTGATGACCTTTGACCTTCAGTGAACACTGATAATCACTTTAGTGTCTGATGAGTGAGACTGCATCTGCTGTATGTCTCATCAACACAAACACGAGTGTGGTTTATATCCACGGGCGAGTCAAGGTGAGGAAGAACGTGTTATTATGGGCTGAAAGGTCAAGCAGAATGTAGTTATTAATGCAACATTAAATGTTAAAACTTGAGCATTAATGCAGAGACTAAACAGTGTGTGTATCAGATTCAGGTGTGACTCATTTGAAATGTATTTCTTATATTTTTTTTCTGGTTTTGAATACTATTTTTCTATAAATTTTCAGCATAAATGGCTATAATAGTGCTAATTATTCTGTTATGTGACAGACACGATGAGCAGGTGATCTGCGCAAGTGTGTGTGTGTGTGAGAGTCTTAATTGAGAGCAGATGTTCCTTACACACTTTCCCCTCCAGACACACACCTGAGACACGCAGAACACACCCTTCAGAACATACGAGCCTCTTTGTGCTTTTATTTCCCTTCATCATGAACACACACACAGGTCAGGGGCAGTTTCATAAAAGACGCTAAGAAAAGCGGGGATTAAAGTCCCAAACCTGACCTGAAATAACCTAACAAATCAATCAGGACTAAAGCGGTTTCATAAACGACAATTTAAGTTCACGCAATCTCACTCATTTGATCCAGGTTCAGTGAGTCAAGATCATTTGATGTGCAGCTTATTCTTAAAGTCGATCACGGATCAAATCGATCCACCATCGCAAACAGCGAATATATCTGTGCTGTTTAATGCATTTGAGACGCTGTGTTTTCCTCCGTGCATAACTGACACGTCACAGGTATATTCTTCATCTGTAAATGTTAGAAAGTCATGCAAATATATCCATTTTACTGTCAGGAGCGCTGCTGCGCGCATGCACGCTAAATATAATGGCGCAATAATTCAGTTGTAGCCTAGGCCTATGTTTTTATTTATTTTATTTATTTAAGTTGCATTTTCTGTATACTTGTATTTTTGGACTGATAATAAAGTCAACTAACTGTATGTGAGAGTGTCAGTGGTGATATCAGTGCGTTCCTATTGGTCAGAGTTAGAGGAGCTCAGCTTAACCTGACAGTTAACCTGCTCCGGACCAGGTTAGTTTAGTTAGTTAGTGACTGAGCTTGAGCTCTGGTAAATTTGCTTTCTGAAACCAAATCAAGTGACAATAAGTCAGACTAACTGGAATAAGCCTGGCTTATTTGGTAAACTAGTTTTATGAAACAGCCCCCAGGTCTCAGGGAGAGGAACTTAAAGCACTGACACCAGATAGCAGTTATGTGAAATAAAACTGCCAAAATGATACCAAAAACACCAACTACTTAATCAAGCAATTATTTTTATTTGAGGAGGTGAGGGGCGCATCGTGTCGTCATGAGCGACCGACAAGCGACGCCTCACAGCGGGCAGTGCAGACCGAGAATGAGCAGGTGAGAGAACTCTGGGAAAACGACCTCAAAATGAGGAAATAAAACACAAGTAAACACTTAAAGTCTGTAAACACACACCAAATCCGCGCAGACACGAGAAACCGACAAATATAACTTATAAAACGGATTGGAAGTTTTAGAATTGAACTGACTGAAGCACAAATGATTACATGAATGAGTACAAACTAAATAAAAGTGAAGTGAGATCATGTGTAAATACTAACGCATAGACGCCAGTGTGTTCTTGAGTCATACCTACACTGAAATTATCTGATTTAATCCTATAAATGAATTAATGATTGCTGTGAAACGTATGGTCAGTGTGTGTTCTTTTGTGTCTGTTGTGTCTTGTGTGTGTTGTAATATCATTATAAGAGTGTGTGAGTGTTTCAAATAGTTTTAAGCCGGAAAAACGCATTCAGATTCAGAATGCATCTGAATCTGACACACACACACACACACACACACACACACACACACACAGAACAGAGTGCGTCCAGCCACTGCAGGTGTGTGTGTGTCGGTCACTGCTGTGATGACCTTTGACCTTCAGTGAACACTGATAATCACTTTAGTGTCTGATGAGTGAGACTGCATCTGCTGTATGTCTCATCAACACAAACACGAGTGTGGTTTATATCCACGGGCGAGTCAAGGTGAGGAAGAACGTGTTATTATGGGCTGAAAGGTCAAGCAGAATGTAGTTATTAATGCAACATTAAATGTTAAAACTTGAGCATTAATGCAGAGACTAAACAGTGTGTGTATCAGATTCAGGTGTGACTCATTTGAAATGTATTTCTTATATTTTTTTTCTGGTTTTGAATACTATTTTTCTATAAATTTTCAGCATAAATGGCTATAATAGTGCTAATTATTCTGTTATGTGACAGACACGATGAGCAGGTGATCTGCGCAAGTGTGTGTGTGTGTGAGAGTCTTAATTGAGAGCAGATGTTCCTTACACACTTTCCCCTCCAGACACACACCTGAGACACGCAGAACACACCCTTCAGAACATACGAGCCTCTTTGTGCTTTTATTTCCCTTCATCATGAACACACACACAGGTCAGGGGCAGTTTCATAAAAGACGCTAAGAAAAGCGGGGATTAAAGTCCCAAACCTGACCTGAAATAACCTAACAAATCAATCAGGACTAAAGCGGTTTCATAAACGACAATTTAAGTTCACGCAATCTCACTCATTTGATCCAGGTTCAGTGAGTCAAGATCATTTGATGTGCAGCTTATTCTTAAAGTCGATCACGGATCAAATCGATCCACCATCGCAAACAGCGAATATATCTGTGCTGTTTAATGCATTTGAGACGCTGTGTTTTCCTCCGTGCATAACTGACACGTCACAGGTATATTCTTCATCTGTAAATGTTAGAAAGTCATGCAAATATATCCATTTTACTGTCAGGAGCGCTGCTGCGCGCATGCACGCTAAATATAATGGCGCAATAATTCAGTTGTAGCCTAGGCCTATGTTTTTATTTATTTTATTTATTTAAGTTGCATTTTCTGTATACTTGTATTTTTGGACTGATAATAAAGTCAACTAACTGTATGTGAGAGTGTCAGTGGTGATATCAGTGCGTTCCTATTGGTCAGAGTTAGAGGAGCTCAGCTTAACCTGACAGTTAACCTGCTCCGGACCAGGTTAGTTTAGTTAGTTAGTGACTGAGCTTGAGCTCTGGTAAATTTGCTTTCTGAAACCAAATCAAGTGACAATAAGTCAGACTAACTGGAATAAGCCTGGCTTATTTGGTAAACTAGTTTTATGAAACAGGCCCCAGGTGTGGCATGCAAGTGTAAATGTTGAGTTTTAATGTGAACAAGTTGATTTCAAGTTTGTATTTATGTTCATCCCGTGACTCATCTGTGTGTGTGTATGTGTGTGTGTGTGTTCCTGCAGTGTACAGATGGAGGATCGCAACATGTTGCGTCTGATGGAGAGGGAGAGACGCAGTCAGGAGGTGCAGCTGGAGGAGACGCAGTATGACAGAATCGCTCCTCTCTTCAACAAGCCGTATAAGGTGACATTTCTCATGACACGTGTGCGTGCGTGTGTGGTGTGTGCATGTGCGGTGTGCGTGTACGCATTTGTGTGTGTGTGTGTGTGTGTGTGTGTGTGTGTGAGTGAGTGTGGGGTGTGTGTGTGTGCGTGCGGGTGTGGTGTGGTGTGCAGTGTGTGTGTGCGTGCGTGTACGTGTGTGTGTGTGTGAGTGAGTGTGGTGTGTGTGTGCGTGCGTGTATGTTTTTTGTGTGTGTGTGTGCGTGCGTGCGTGCGTGTACGTATTTGTGTGTGTGAGTGAGTGTGGTGTGTGTGCGTGCGGGTGTGGTGTGCAGTGTGTGTGTGCGTGCGTGTACGTATTTGTGTGTGTGTGTGAGTGAGTGTGGTGTGTGTGCGTGTATGTTTTTTGTGTGTGTGTGTGCATGCGTGCGTGCTTGTACGTATTTGTGTGTGTGAGTGAGTGTGGTGTGTGTGTGCGTGCGTGTATGTTTTTTGTGTGTGTGTGTGCGTGCGTGCGTGCGTGTACGTATTTGTGTGTGTGAGTGAGTGTGGTGTGTGTGCGTGCGGGTGTGGTGTGGTGTGGTGTGCAGTGTGTGTGTGCGTGCGTGTATGTTTTTTGTGTGTGTGTGCGCGCGTGCGTGCGTGTACGTATTTGTGTGCGTGTCGTGTAATGATTCTGTTTCTGGAGTGAAAGTGTTCATAGATGCTGCTGTGTGTTTGTGTCTCTTCATATGGAAACAGTCAGAGATTTTTAATACTTGATTCATTTCTCAGTTTCTGATCTGAAATCCTGCTGGTCATCACGTGATGATGTGAAACTTGGAGTGTGTTTGTGTTCTCAAGGTCTTTGATGAGTAAAGCGTGTGTTGACTCAATATATAAGCTCAGAGTGTAAACCAGATCAGTACAGAAGCTGATCCTGTGCTCCGTTAGTGTGGCGGTTCTTCATATGTGAACTGTTCCTCTCTGAACACGTCTGGTGTGACGCCGTATCAATGAGGCAGACGTGTTGTGAATCAGTACAGCCAAAGATGTGTTGTGTGAGCACAGATCCCTCAGACAGCAGCGATTGTGCAGTTTCAGTGTAGTGGAGGTAGGGCTGGGCGGTATACGGCTTTTGGCTTGTCTCCTGAGGCCACAGGAGGGTGCAATGAGCAAAATAATGCACAGCATTAAATTGTTTATTCAATACAATGAAATAATGACTGTATTAAAAAAGTGCATAACATCTAAATTAACATATATGAATCAAATATAATTTCGTAAATTGCATAAACAATTTTGAACAAAACAGCAGCATCTATTTATGCATAGTGTAATACAAAGAGCCGCAGCGCCGGTCACACAGATTGATTTAAAAACATATGAGATGCAGTGAAATGGAATTAAAAAAACACAAATTCGTGACAAGTCTTCTAAAAGTTGAACCTCTTAACTTTACTTGGCTTTCATCTCTTGTGTGAGATGCGAGTGCAGCACTCATAGCTGTCCGTCTTGAAAATGCACAGAACATGTGCTCTGTGTGAATGGCTTGGTTTCGGTTTTATCCTAACAAAGATCTCTGCATTGAGCTTCTATTTTTCTGTAATACTTTGAATGAAAAACGCAGAAGCGGCGCATCTTGTGGGTTCAACTGTAGAGGCTCAGGAGAACATTAAAACACTTACATCATCTCGTGTGCCGCTGATGACGCTCCCAGATGCACAACTAACATTCGTATGCACCGTTTCTGCATTTGAATGCTAATTTTTCTTTTAAATTCGACTAATTCCTTTTTTGTTCACAATCTCCTCAACGCAGGCAGGCACAGCACTCATTTCAGCATGTGTTCGTGTGTTCTTATGTCACAGCTTACTGGCTGTCTGCTTGTCACTATATTGTGCATTACAGCGAACATTATTTCTGTCGTTATTGATGAAGGTGTACCGTCAATAATACCGATACGGTTTTATTGCCCAGGCCTAAATGGAGGCTCTTAAGATCACAGGACAGCGCAGCTGAACACTGAAACCTACTATCATTCTGTTTATTTATATTATATTTGGGGTTGGTGTATGTTAGTGAACACACATGAGTTGTGTGTCAGTGCTTTAGGAGGCTCCAGCGCTAATCAAACACATCTGAGCCGCTAACCCTCGATGTGACAGCTGCAAAATAACAGAGCATAAATACACTTCCTTTGTCTGATTTACTTTGCAGAGAATCAAAGATGACGAGCTGTCGAGTCGCATCCAGACGATGCTGGGTAATTATGAGGATGGATATGATGGACCTGAGGACGCTGCGCTTCCTTACGAGCGCTCCACGCAGTTCCCTCAGGCGCAGTCAGGACACACGGATCGCTCCAGAGCCGCCTCCGGCCCTGCTTCAGGAGAGAGCTGGGACAGTTTCCCAGCCCTGTCTCCTCTGCGGTCCAGCGACTCGGACACCGGCCCGTCTCCGGAGCGGCCTCCGCTGAACCTGCACAGTAAACTGGCGAAGGCCAAGAAACCCACAGCGTACGTGAGGCCGATGGACGGTCCGGATCAGGTGACCAGCGACTCTCCTGAACTGAAGGCCTCACTGGAGTCGTATGAGCACTTACAGGACCTGAAGGAGAGCAGCAAACCAAACCTTGCCCCTCTGCAGGCTGCTGATGTGAGTGTTACAGTGAGAGCCAGACTAAGCCTGCGTGTGTTTCCGAGTGTTTTCAAAAGTTAATCAAGTAGTGATGGGAAGTTCGGATAATTTTACCGACTCGGACCTTTGAGTCTCATTCAGCAAAATGAACAAATCTTTTTTTCGAGTCATTTCATTAATTTTAGCTAAATATAATTAAAATGTTATGTGTTACTTCCCTAACACATCTAATACTTACGCAAGTTAGGGCTGCAAGAAATTGGAAAAAACTCACATTGCGATATTGATGCGATGCGACAAATCCCTGACAGTAAACTGCTGCCGGGTTTTATTTATGACGAACTGACACAAAGTTCACATGATTTGCAGCAGTTGCTTTTCACGTCCAGTGTAGCCAGACTTTAGCTGTTGCAGCTAGACAGACTAGACATGGTGTCTGTGTGTTCAAAGAAAACAATCAGTATAAATATAACGATCAGAATACTAAACATCGCACATCCCCATGATTTGCAGCAGTTGCTTTTCACGTCCAGTGTAGCCAGACTTTAGCTGTTGCAGCTAGACAGACTAGACATGGTGTCTGTGTGTTCAAAGAAAACAATCAGTATAAATATAACGATCAGTATACTAAACATCGCACATCCCGCAATGTGACTATTGCAGATCCGCACATCGTGATATCGATGCTGAATAGTATCTGCAATCAAGTCGACGATATCGCTGGAAAATAAGTGTCCCTAACTAAGCAAGCCAGAGGCGACAGCGGTTGAAACGATATATTGTGCAGCCCTAACGCAAATATTGATCAAATTACAAACAAGACAAAACTCTAATACAGAACTATACAGAAAATATTTATTTATTGTTTACCTGGGTCTTTAGTCTATGATTAGCTCACCACACCTCTTATCTAACAAGTCTTTGGGTTTGAGTCATTTGTTCATCACGTGACAGCCCCATAAACGAAGCTGATGAACGAACGACTCGAAAAACCTGAAGACTTGAAACAGGTGAACTAATTCCAGTACAGAACCTATAGGATGTTGTGCATGCGTGACTGAACGAATCCCTCCCCGAGACGACTCGTTATTCCAGAGTCACATTAAAGATTCGTTCAAGAACGACCCATCACTATAATCAAGGCCACGTCTCTCTCTCCCCTCTGCAGATAGTGTCTGGAGCGCGTGTGGAGGACATTCTGCAGGTCAGTTGAGTTTGGGACAATCTCGTTTGATTGGAAAGCTGCAGGATTTCAGTGTCTCTCTCTCACACAGGAAATGACCTCATGGCCTCCACTGCTGACGACCATTTGCTCGCCAACCACAGCCGAGCCGCCCAAGGTCCTCTCCACTAACGAGGTTAGATCAGAGTAAAGGGTTTCGTTGGTTCTCACTGAAACACTAGCATTCAGACTTATTCTTGAGCTCATTCTTTTTTTGAACTTTAATGCTTGTAACTGTTTTGACAGGAGACACATGGATTACCGGCCCTCGGTAAGTGTGTGTGTGTGTGTGTATGTTGTTGAAGTCTGTTTATGTGCTTTTTAAGTTGTTGTGTTGTTCTTTACTAGAAGCTCATGAATCATCAGACAAAGTTCAGCTGGAATCTCAGTGAGTATCAGATCAGATCTTTGTCTTGAGCTCATGTGAAGGTGCTACAAAAAGGTCAAGATGAAGATTTCTCCCCTCTCTCTTCAGCTACTGTTTTAACTTTACTCTGTGTGTGTGTGTGTGTGTGTGTGTGTGTGTGTGTGCGCGCGCGCGCGTGCACCTGTGTGTGTGTGCACCTGTGTGTGTGTGCACCTGTGTGTGTGTGCACCTGTGTGTGTGTGCACCTGTGTGTGTGTGCACCTGTGTGTGTGTGCACCTGTGTGTGTGTGCACCTGTGTGTGTGTGCACCTGTGTGTGTGTGCACCTGTGTGTGTGTGCACCTGTGTGTGTGTGCACCTGTGTGTGTGTGCACCTGTGTGTGTGTGCACCTGTGTGTGTGTGCACCTGTGTGTGTGTGCACCTGTGTGTGTGTGCACCTGTGTGTGTGTGCACCTGTGTGTGTGTGCACCTGTGTGTGTGTGCACCTGTGTGTGTGTGCACCTGTGTGTGTGTGTGTACACACGTGCGCACACACACAGGTACACACATGCACGCACACACACACACAGGTACACACACGCGTACACACAGGTACACACACGCACGCACACACACAGGTACACACACGCGTACACATATGCACGCGCACACACACAGGTACACACATGCACGCACACACACAGGTACACACACGCACGCACACACAGGTACACACACGCACACACACACAGGTGCACGCACACACACACACACAGGTGCACGCACAGGTACACACGTGCGCACACACACAGGCACACACGTGCGCACACACACACACACACACAGGTGCACGCGCGCGCGCGCACACACACACACACAGGTGCACGCGCGCGCGCGCACACACACACACACAGGTGCACGCGCGCGCGCGCACACACACACACACAGGTGCACGCGCGCGCGCGCACACACACACACACAGGTGCACGCGCGCGCGCGCACACACACACACACAGGTGCACGCGCGCGCGCGCACACACACACACACAGGTGTACACACGTGCACACACACACACACACCGGTACACATACACAGGTGCGCACATGCATGCACACACACACACACACACACAGGTGCACACACACATAGGTACACACACACATACACAGGTGCACACGCACACGCACACACACACACACACAGGTGCACACACACACAGGTGCACATGTATGAATGTAAATGAGAAACAGGAGTTTCTTGCATACAACTTATATTGCCATGATGAGTAAGAACAGCATCTTCACCCTCACTTTTTCGTCATCCTGATGTGTGTGTGTGTGTGTGTGTTTAGCCACAGAAAGAGAGTGACTGGCAGCTAGGACGGTGGTTAGAAAGGAAGGGAAACCAGCACCAGCAGAACCCTAGGAGCCCATGTGATGCCATCAGGCCAAACTCCCATGATTCCTCTGTTAGGACTGAGGCTCCAGGGTCACAGACTTGCCACAGTGACCCAGCTGACAGCGGCAAAGCGTCCGATCTCAGACAGACTGTGGGGAGCACGAGCATGTGTGAGGATCCGCTGTTAGAAAGCACATCCACACACAGACCCAAACACAAGAGAAAGAAAACCGCACATCACTCAGAGCAGAAGAGAACGACAGCAGACACCAACAACATCAGCAAACAAACACATCCGCCGCTGCTGGTGAAGATCAAGCTGAAGCTGCTCTCCAGGATCCCACGGGAGCCCAAAGCAGCTCCGCCTCACACAGAGAACAGCAGAGCGTCGAGACGCAAGAGAGCGGTGAGCACAGCTAACACCTGACCCCTGACCCCTAACCCTGACTCACTACTGCTGCAGAGTAACGAAGAGCTGCCATCAAACATTACAGAATCACATGTTCACTCATTTTATTGTATGTGACATACTTTGGGGTGTGTGTGTGTGTGTTTGCAGATGGAGAGGGATGAAAAGTTTTCAAAGAAGAAACAGAAACTGGACAAACATAGAAAACAGTCTTCCTCTCAGCAGAGCCTCCACCAATCAGAGTGAGTCACAGAAACACACAGCCAATCAGAGCCTGACGTGTTTTACAGACTTACTTTCCACATCTCAGAAATTAATTTAAACCAGGATCACTCAAGACTTTTTCCCATATTAATAGAAATGTATTATAAAAGTTATAATAATGATGATGGTGATGGAATGTCTGGGGTTTTATGATGCTCTTGGATGAATATCTTGACAACAGGTGTATCAACATGATCCACCAACTGAAAACTAATGCAATCTTGACGGTCATTAGACTGTTTGTGTTTCAAACTGTACAAATGTTTGGTTTGTAAAGTGGATATTTTGTAAGGAAAGATGCACAAACAAACACTGTGTCATTTATTGAGCTAATGCAGTGACGTTCATTAATGTGACGCAAGCGCCAGAACTTTTCTGATGCGGAATGGAAAGAGTCTCTGTCTGATAGACGCCGATCTGAACGCTCTTCATGTTTCCATCAGAGCCGTCGGGAACAGCGACAAGATGATGATGAAGAAGAAGAGTGTGAGAAACAGCTCAGGTCTTCCTCAGGACAGAGACGGCCAGCGGAAGAAAGCAGAAACTCATGGGAAGGTACTGCAGATATCCTCACTTCAGATTTCTGCTGGGATTACTGCTCTGATGTAATTAACTGTTTTTATTACTCAGAAAACCGGCAAGAGCCACAAGGAGCTCCTGGAGAAACCACGAGTGCTGCTGCCCGATCGCAGGTGCGTGCCGCTGCTTTATTTCACAGAAATCACACCGAGTACGTCTGAACATAGAGCGATGTGATACGAGTGATGAATGTCAGCTGAAACGCAAACAACAAGTGTCTTTTAGGCTTCGTCACTCGCCACGTGCATAGTGTTTCTGTGATTGACCTCTGACCTCTGGTTCCCAGGAAACTCTCAGTGGAAGATCATTTGAAGGAAGCCAAAAAGCTGAAGCACAAAGCAGATGCTACGGTGTTTATCAAGCCTTCGGTTGAGTCTGCTGTACGGTGAGCTCCACGCTCGCTCTGACCGTGTTTCTCTGTTCCTCAGCCGGATAAGATGGCTAAAGCGCTGTGCTATCTGGAGGCTGCGCTGTCGTTCACGGAGAGTGCTGTGGCCATGCAGACAGAGCCGCAGACGCCCAAATCTGCCTACACCATGTTCTCGGAGACGGTGGACCTGATCAGGTGAGAAACCGCTGCTGCTGTTCAGTGAGACGGAGATTAGGGATGTTACGATATCAAAATCTCACGATACAATACTATTGCGATGTGAAGTCCACGATATGATATTTATTACGATATTTAAAAAGAAAAAAAGACAAATGAAGAATTGGGAAAAAATGAAAGTTTTGTACATTTTAAAGTTAAGTGATTCTATCTAATGCACTTTGAGAGTTCAAAATCAAGAGCTCCAACCCATGTTCTTAACTAAGAAAACTGAAGTCAGTGAATTGACTTGTAGCTGAACTTTAAAGGGACTCAACTCTCTTTTTATTTGTGATATTCTGTCTGTCTAAATTACATTAACACTGGTGTTTTAGAAAGCCAAACTAATTAGAATATAATAATAATAATAATAACAATGACAGAAGTAGCCATATATTGTAAAACAACTGCACTGTAAAATAAATTAAAATTAATATTTCATCGGTAAATGAAATATGAAAGTACAATACTTCTTTCCTAATTTCTACACCTGAAAGAGATATTTAGAATTTAGACTGCATTTAAACCGCTAGCTGTCAGCAATTCATACGTCACTTAAGCTTTTATTTTGAAGCAAAGCTCCAGCTTCAGTGAAAACAGGCTTACAAAAACACAAACACGTCTCACTACAAATCTAGTGAAACGCTGTAATCATCTGCCGTGAAAATAAAGCTGTGTTCCCAAACGTGCGCTAAACTCACAGAACGTGTGATAAACGAGTTGTCTGCATTCATTCAGTGTGAACGAGTCGTTCTGAGATGCAGAAAACACCGGATCACGAGCTGATCGTCTGAACCAAGTGTTTGAAACACGCAGCAAAAACAGACTTGCTTTCGGTTTGAGTTCGTTTGACGGATACTGTGCCAAAGCATAATGCCCCCAAACACAACTTTAAATGCATTTCATGTTAGAATACGAAGTTTAAATACATATTTGAAAAACTACACTTTTTGCCCGGAAGACCTATCGTTTCATATCGTCATGTGACCACGATAATATCGAGATGGCACGTTTTGCCATCGTGATATTGATAATATCGTTACATCCCTAGTAGCGATGCTTCGACTGGCTGCTGATGCTGTGGTCTGTCCAGGTTCATTCTCAAGCTGAAGAACTACACGGATCCGGCGGCCGCCGCTCACGAGAGGGACTTCTGCGTCCTGTGGTGAGAGCCGACCCAGCAGAGACAGAGACGTGAGTCTGTACACGAGTGACGTGTTGTGTTTGTCCCCAGCATGCGGTGCCAGTCTCTGCTGCAGATGGCCATGTTCTGCTCCAGACGAGAGCCAGCTCTCAGACACTCGCGGATGCTCACGGATCATTTCAGAGTGCGTGCTCCTCCGTCTCCTGCAGTTTATTCAGACGTCAGACGTCTGCCTCACGCTCTTTGTGTTTGTTTGCAGAGCTGCTTGTGGTCTGCGTCTCCCTCCGTGTCTAAGTGAGCGTCCTCGCCGCACTCATGGACTCGGATCCATGCGCTGTCTTCTCTTCTCTTCACCGCTGTGTTTGTCTCCGCAGGAGCGGCTCGCTGCTCGTTCCTCAGCCGGTCCAGCAGGTGGCGGCGGCGTACATCAGCATCACCACGCTCCTCCTGAGCGCTCACCACATCTGGGAGCAGGCGGACCAGATCGCTCTCCGAGGCAGCGGTGAGATGGGGTCAGAGGTCACAGCTGAATGCTGAACGTCTTTGTCCTCGTCTGTAAAAAACAATCTTCTGTCACAAACTGAGTTCATAATACAGCAGGTTAGGGTTAGTAGTGCCATCAGTCGATTAAAATACTTCATTATAAGAGCGTTATTTTTAACTCGCTCTTTCATTCTTTCATTCTTTTCCCCTTTTTTCAAGTTTATTTTAATTTTCATGTCAAGTAAGTATTAAAATGATCAATTTTATTGAAAAAAAAAAATCAACTCTTTGTCTTTGTGGAGCTGGTTTGTGGGCATAAACAATACGATATGGGCAACAGACTTTAGCAGAGCTACATTAGGAAATAGAAGACAAAACGAATGCTACATTAATAGTGTTAATTTTTTTTTTTTTACGGGTTGAATGACAAATATTAATGATGGATTAATTGTGTTTGGGTCTGTGTGCAGATTAAGACAGTATTTTTCCCAGATGATGTTTGTAGGTCTGTTATATTCATTTAAGAAGTAAAAGAGTTGAGCCGGACGCTCGTGTGAGGATTGTTCTGGTGTTTTTAATGAGCGCAGTGGTTTTGTGGTGGTTTGCAGGTTTGCTGCGAGAGCTGGATTCCGCCGTCGGTCCTCTGAGTCTGATGTCCTCCATGAGTGCTTTAGTGCGATACGCTCGACACGGCCTGCACTGGATCAGACTCGACACGCAGAAGCGGCGCTGATGCTTCCCTCGACCGCCGGAGAGCCCAGGATGTGGCAGCCTTCATTTATTTGCACAATGATCGAATCAAACGATCAATCTCTCTTTAACGGCTAATGAAGCGCTTCAGCCGCGGGTCATTCTGACACGAAAACATGATGGTCTTCCCTCTGCACTGAACGAACCCACGTGACACTGCGTCCACCATCAAGCCAAAGTCCAGCAGCATCTCATGAGTGTGAGTGTGAGTGTGAGTGAGTGTGTCTGTCTGTCTGTGAGTGTGAGAGAGCGTGAGTGAGAGTGAGAGAGTGTGTGTGTGAGAGACAGCATCAGTTCAAATGCTTTGTGTGACTGCTGAACACTAACACACACACACACACACACACACACACTCTGCCAGCGCAGCAAGTGCCTTCAGATCTGATCAACTCAAGCAAACACTAGGACCCACTTAGAGTGAGTTTGATTACAGTGCAAATATTTGTCATTTCCAGCTTTTATACGGTCACATGACTTTTGACCCTTCAGAGAAACTGTGGCAGTGACAGAAACTCATGCTGCAGTTGTTTGTATGTACAGCTGATGGGCCTGACCTCTGACCTCTGGAGTTTTTCTCTTGATTGTCTCTCTTTAATCTTGAATTTTGTTGGTCAATTTTTTATTTTTTGCAATAGGGAGGCATTGTATTTATTTGCATTAGCAGATATTTATTATATCATTTATGACCAAGTGCAGAATTGATTTTCAGAACATTACAGAACAGCATTGAGCCTGTCGATTGGTCAAGCTGCTTGTTCTTCACGATAGCGACGCCTCATTGGTCAAATCCTTCGTCACTTTTTAAATAGAGCACTAAGTATTTCCTGTCCATCAGTATTTCCTTTCTTTCCTAATCTTGGGTCCAGAGCAGCAGATGTTGATTGACACTCAAATGATGATTTACTTTCTGCGAACTTTGGAAGATTAAAATTCTCTGTCGAAATGGAATATCAGAACGAAATTTTGTATTTATTTTATATCCTATGATGTGGGAGTTTGGGTTGGTTTTCAACAACTTTATCAAACTGGTTTGAATCAGCAAAAGTCTGATTTGATTGTTGATTGCCAAATCTTCACTGGAAGTGGCTTTGTGTGTCTCATTGTGTTTGGAAACAAAAAAAACGGTGGTTTTCGTGCCTTATTCCTTTTTTTGTGTGACTGAGTTCAGTTGACGTTATTACTGAGAACTGAAGATGTTTTCCCAGGATCCATTTGGATATGAACTGAATAAAATCTTTATCCTTTATTATTCGCTCTCATTTGTTTTTGGCACCTCGGAGGCGATGTATAAAATACTGCTTATTCACAACACATGAACATATAAACACAGAACAAAAACAGTATATCAACAATTATACAGTAGTCAACATTTGAAGTGGATCAAAACCTTTCATCAAAGTTGTCCTAAAACCAAAATATACGTTCTTGTCTTAGGACAACTTTGATTCACTTTTTTGATCCACTTCAAATGTTGACTACTGTATAATAAATCAAATGACGATAGGATAAAGAACCTCTTAAAAATATTTTTTAACTACCTGGATGGTTATAAAAAGACAAGACGGTCACTTTCACCCACAGCAATAAATAATGCCTTTGTTTTGTTTATTGCTGCAGCATCAGGACAGCGCTTTATGAAAGTACTGATTATCACCATCGTTCTGCATTAAACCAACCAAGCGATGATATCTCAGATCATCTAGTCTGGTGCAAACTTCATATAGCTAAAACAGTAAATTCTACTCCTTGGTACAAGTATGGTAGGGCCATCACTTCTACCACAAAAGACTGCTTTGTAAGTAATCTTCCTGATTTATCTCAATTTCTTAGCATATCCAAAACCTCAGAACAACTTGATGTAACAGAAACTGTGGACTCTCTCTTTTCTAACATTTTAGATACAGTTGCTCCTTTACGCTTAAGGAAGATTAAGGAAAACAATCTGACACCGTGGTATAATGAGCAGACTCGCACCCTAAAGAGAGCAGCCCGGAAAATGGAGCGCAGCTGGAGGAAAACAAAACTAGAGGTATTTCGTATCGCATGGCGGGAAAGTAACCTATCCTACAGAAAAGCATTAAAAACTGCTGGATCTGATTACTTTTCGTCTCTTTTAGAAGAAAACAAACATTACCCCAGGTATTTATTCAATACAGTGGCTAAATTAACGAAAAATAAAGCATCAACAAGTGTTGACATTTCCCAACAGCACAGCATTAATGACTTTATGAACTACTTTACTTCCAATATCGATACTATTAGAGATCAAATTGTAACCATGCGGCCGTCAGCTACAGTAATGCATCAGATAGTGTGCTATAGATCGCCTGAGGAACAATTCCACTCATTCTCTACTATAGGAGAAGAAGAATT